CTTACTTGCTTACTTACTTACTTACTTACTTATTTGTTTATTCACTCATTCATTCATTGGTATCTTCATTCACTGTAATAGCGACAATCTATTTTTTACTTTTTTCTCGTACTTTACTTTTTGCAGATAATTACAAAAATATTTGTTTGAATAAAACCATAATTTTTTGATTTGTATTTATCTTATCAAAATTTAATATTTAGTATTGTGATTTTTATATTAAAATGTCAAAAAATATGAATGAAAATTAAACATGATTTTCAGCACCACATTCTAAACTCTGAACATGATTTGATGCATTTTGCGTCTTGGAAGATTCATCATAATAGACGCTTCAAATAACGTGAATTATACTTAAATATTTTAAATAGTTGTATATCTAGTGTGACATTCCAATGTAATTTTAAAAGATTATTAAGCCCACAATTTTGGACAATTTTGTGCTGCGAAGTTATAAACCAGTTATTTTTTCAACAAACAAGATTTTATCAAAGAAATTATTCTTGTTTACTACTTTTCATCATATTCTTGTATAAACAATAATGAACTTACAACAAATTCGAAAACATTTATTGGCACTGCTTACTTTCAAATTTGAAAACTTAAAATGTCCTTAACTGATCTGTATGTCTTGCAGTAAAACTTATTTACAAAGTTTATAGGAGTAAAAGTTAATTTTCGCAATGCTTTCCTTTCACGGAAATAACAAGTCTTTGTAATTCATTGCCAAGTGCTTCATCATTGCAGCACATCTTTTGTCATTTCATTTTTGAGATAAATTCCAAATTGCATTGGATTCAATTTTTGTTCGAGTAATTCAAGCATGCATAAATATAGTTGAGAAATGCAAAAATTAGCATAAACATAACTGTTGCTGTGAAAGTCGACATTCCAACAAATCGTTCTGGCAAATTTGCGTAAAATGTGACATGCAAATTGTGATAAGATTAAAAAAATCACTAAAAAATTATCACACATGCTCAGATTTCTTGTAAAAATTCAATATTTTATGTTTTTTCGATGGCAAGCAAAAATTTTCGCAAAAATGATCAAAATCAAACAAAAATACAAAAAATAACTAATTACTTGTGTTTGTGTTGTTTTGCCTGAGGGCCATATTCAAAGTTTCAGAATTAGTCTGAGAGCGAAAATAACGATAACAATGGTATGGAATGTCTGAAGGGAACAAGTATCCATTTACTGATGACAGTAATCTTTTTTATCCACTGAAAATAGAATTTGAAGATCAACAAAAAACAATTCCAGTTTGAAAAGTTCATGAAGAAATGCTTTTTAAAGAACAAAACTCATTTAAAATTTCATCGCACAAACACTAAAATCCATCGCCAACAATTATTTTCAGTCTTTCTTTTTTTTGGCATTTTTAAAATTTAGTTCAATCGAAGACATATAATTATAATTGTATGATTAGTTACATATTTGAACCAAATATTCGTTTATGCAGACTTTGCATTATTTTTATAGTTTTTTGAGAACTTTAAGACTTCTAAAATTTTTAGATATTTTAAGAGAATTTAAATTAATGTAATTTATGATCAATGCAATTTGAACTGTACCAACTAATACAAGACTTGCTTGTGCTCATCTACTGCTGAATTGCCAATCATCATGGATTTTTATCTACCTATTTTTGATTTTGATTGTAATTAGCATGAAATCTTAAAGGAAACTTTGTTAAATGCTGCAAAATGGATGCGACAGTAAATTAGTAGTTAATATTCTGTGATAGCTTAAAAATGTCTCACAGCACTGCATCTCATCATTTAAAGCTTAATCAGTGGAACAAACCGCTACAAAACGAGTACAAATCTCTTTTTGCAGTTGAAGTAGTTCTTAAAGTGAATGAATGAATACCTTCTAGAAAACATTGTGCTTTTTCGGTGATTATACGATTTATTCTGATTTATTCCAGTTCCTTGGAAAGTTATGAACATTTTCTGATTGGAATTGATAGGTCAAGCGATTTTTATCATCTTTACTTGCAGATATACTCCACTACAATTCACTTTGCAGTTTTTGCTCATTTTCAAATCAGTGCGGATATATTTGTATTCGTGAGTCTATTTCTCTCTTCACAACATTTTTGTATTAAAAAACGCATTTACATTTAATTACTGATATGATTAGAAGCACATTCATTTACTTTACTTGCTTGTGTTGCTTGTGTATTTTTCAAATCTATAATATCAGTTTGAGTTTTAAAGCAACGTAATCCATGTTTGTTTGTTTTCTATCCATCCAAATAATGCTTGTTTTTGAGATTATATAATTAATTTAAAACTTCGAATTGTTATATCTAATGTAAAAGGCGAAAACTCAGAGGTCAAATTTCCAAAGCAGTTATTTTGCTAAAATTATAAATATTTCTTAGAGAGCTTTTTAGGCCTATGAAAGACAATATAATTGCTTTCAGTCCGGTTTTCACCTTTTATTACCATTAATCACTGTTACGCATCACTTTTCTCAACGACTAATTGTGCCGTTTTGAGAGCGAAAAGAGATCGAAACGAACAATCATTCTTAATTTTCATTTATTCGAAAAATTCACTCAAGAATTCACACTTGCATATTTTAGGCATTAAAAAAAATTCAAATAAACTTCAAATAAACAAACTGTTGTATTCATTTGTTTTTCCAGAATTTCTTTGTGTTCATTATATTTATGCAAATTTCTATCAACTGAAATTTTTCGTCTACCAAACTTCAATGTAGGTTTGAGGCGAATTTCAAATTCTTATTAAAATAATCAGTAAAGTCAAACTGAATTAGAAAATTGTTCTCAATACGTCTACTGACAGGATTGAACTGAAAAAATGATAACAGTTCAATTTCAGTTTGTCTTTACTCATTATTTCAATAAGAATTTAAAATTCTTCTTCTCAATCCTACATTGAAGTTGGAAGACATTTTAACAAAAAGTATTTATAAATTATCTGGCTTATTTTTTTAACTTCAGCATGTATTGTGAACAACGAGATAGAATTAGTTCTTAAGTAGTTTTTAAATACTTTTTTCTTTTCAAAAGTTTACTAAATTTCAGTTCGCCAAAAATGTCAGCACAATTGGCGGCTTATTCAGCTGTCGGATTAAGTATTTGTTCTTTAACAGCATGCCTCATTTTCCTTCCTTCTCTATACAGCAAAATCTCGGAAATTCAATATGATCTCGATTTGGTAATGAAACGCTTTACTTTTACTCTTACTTTTACTTTTACTCTTACTTTTATAAAAATAAATCATAAAAACTTGTTAAGATTATTTTTCAATTTTCAGGTTTGTTTCTGATTTACGTCTTTAAATGTGTCAAAGCAATATGTTAAACAATTCTTCACGCCTTTTGCTTCTTTCATAGCTTTTCAATTGATAATCTAGTAATACAACTAAAAGTAATCAAATCACAAACTTTTGATCGCAATATTATGCGGTGCATACGTATAAAATTATCCCCACTTGATAAATTCAACTATAGTCTCAATCTTTCTCCTTGAACTTGCTCAGCAATTCCGTCTAAAACAATTATAGAAAGACTCGCTGGAAAAATTAAAGACAAGCAAGCAGAAGAAAAATAAAGCTTGCTTACAGTATCATCATAAATCAGTCTTCCTTCATTTCTGCGCAGAGGAAAAATAGTTTCATCTCAAGAGCAAAAAATTGAATTTTGAGTTATAATTCCAATCTCTGAATAACTTAATGCCATAAATTCAATTTCTCTGCCCATACAGTATTAACATATTTTATTTGTAGTGCATTACAAAAACAAGAAAAGTTTTAATGTAAGCAAGAACTCTGAATAAAAAAAACACTTCCAAATTTACACGTTTGGATGTGTTCTACAGATTCTTTAAATAAACATCGGAATTGCTTTTTGCATGAAAGTTTACAGGATATGGCAGAGTTCCGTGGATTACAAGATCAATTTTACATACGAATGAAGAGCGGGAATGTTGAAATGGGCAGTTCCCCACTAATAGTCTATCGTCAGAAGCGTGATCTTTCGTTGCCTGGACAATGTCGTAAGCAGTCATTCTTATTTTCAAAAAAGTGATATTAAAATATCTTGAAGACTTTTACATGCCATTTTAATGTTAATTGTGAGTCACAAATGACCACATTTCGTCTATTTACAATTAAAATAATGAAAGTGATCGAAGAAAGCTCACTAAGGCTTTTATATTTCATTGGTGAAAATTCCAGTTCCTTAAAGATGTGAGTATACCAACAAAATTAACTAGCATTTCAGGTTGTGAGCCATCAACAGCATGCCCATCAGGTCCACCAGGTCCTCCCGGTGAACCTGGAATGGATGGTGCCCCAGGAGAACCTGGTCCACCCGGACCTCCAGGATTGCCTGGAAATCATCCACCAGTTAATGTTGATATAAAGGGCAATTGTCGTATTTGCCCAAATGGTCCACAAGGCTTTCCAGGTAAGCTAAGCATATATTTTAACTTGAACCATGTTTAAAAAATAATATTTTTTTAAAATGAATTTGGTGTAAAAAATATTATTTGCTCTTCCTATTAAGTGACATATTTGACAAACAAATTATCTTTCAGGTCCTCCTGGTCCTCTTGGACCAGTTGGGGAAATTGGCCCACCTGGACCTCCTGGATTCCGTGGTGAACCTGGATTTGAAGGTCCAGTTGGTGCTCCTGGTCCCGTAGGTAAGCTGATTAATTGCTATATTGGAGAAAACACTTTTATATTTTGAATTTGTAGGTTAATTAGTTAACTGATAAATGAAATAAAAGAATTATAAATATGATTAAGATTGATTAAATTAATAAGACAATGACAGTATTCATCTACAATTTAATTCTTTAATTGTTCTGATGATAAGATAATAAATATGAACGAGTCAATCACTCTTTTAACCAAGTTTTCAAATGAATATTTGCCAAAATTTGGCTCAAATATTTTTCCCTTTCACTGAACTGACACATTTGACGAAGCTCCCCTCATTATTATGTCTATCTTTATTTATTATAACGTTAGAGTAATTCTAGCATTGTTGAATTATTTGAGTAATTCAAAACTTCTAATGAAAATAAATTTTGGTTAACTCTTTTAATGCGAAAGTTTATGGTGTGCTGCTTGGCAACTGTCTGTTTGTTTAGTATCTATCAATTATCTCACATTATTCTAATTGACCTCGTATTATAGGTGAACCAGGTGCAAATGGCCAAAATGGTCCACCAGGACTACGAGGTAGAAATGGTATTAAGGGTTCAAAAGGAGAACCAGGATTACCGGGACCTAGAGGACCACCTGGACCTCAAGGATTCCCAGGACCTGATGGTAATGATGGAAATCAAGGTTTCGTAGGATCACAAGGACCACCCGGACCAGCTGGAGAAGCAGGACCAAATGGTTCACCAGGGTTCACTGGTCCGCCGGGGTCACCAGGAGCACCTGGAGAAGATGCATCATACTGCCCTTGTCCGCCACGGCGTACGACTACATAATTCTATTTATGGTTATGCATCACTTTTATCTTGTTTTGATTGCCAGTCTTTGTCATATGTCACATGAGGTGTGATATTATACTTTAAAGAAATCACTAAAACTCACAAAAACTTGGCATACTGTAAATAAGGAACTAAAAACGGTTACTTTCTTACATATACAAAAGAGATGAAACTAAATAATAATAAAATGGCCTCGGACCTGCAGCTAGCTCGTGTAAAAAAAAAAGACTCACTTTGTATGGATACTTAATACTAATTCCAATCAGTGACTGGAAATAATGTAGACTGCAATACTATATGAATCCAATAACAGTTAATTTTGTTTCTTCCATGTTTGCATTCCAATGTTGACGTTGCACAAAAATTCAATATAATGAATCAAAAATAAATGTTTAGCAAAGGATTTGCTGGATGTAAACAAAATAATTTTTCAAAAATCAATGAAACCAAGTCGCTATCAATTATCCCATGAATTCAAGAAAACGAATCACTTATCTTCAGAAACTATCATCTTTAACTTATAATAGACATCAAGTCACCACTTGCAGCTGTTGCCTCACCAAATCTCCATATATGTAACATAATGTACCGACCTTCACACTAAAACAATTTTATTAGTTAGTCACTGAATGACCTACTATATATTGGTCCTGCCTTAGAATGAACGGGCAACTCAAATCTCTATAATAGAGATACGATCGCCAACTAAGGATCTTACACAGTAAAAAGAGCTACCCCACAACAATGTACTCAGAATCAGATGAGCTATTCCAGTACATTTTTTTTTAAAAAGCGACATTCGTACACATAATGCAAGTGTTCAGATTTCAGCAGATGTAACTGTTGCTCCTTCTACGAATAGAACTCCAGGCATTGTTATCCAATTACATGTATAACAAAAAATATCTATTAGTTTATTACATGCGTTAAATGGTACATGAATCAGAACTCCATATTGCTATATGGTTGAGAATTTACATAGAAGTGAAGCTTCAACAAATCTTATTCTCATGAAGTTTATTAACCTCTACATATTTAATGATCAATTTCCTTTAAGTTTCGGTTTCTATTACGGAGAAAAAAATGTCATATATGTGACAACAAGTAACAAAACTAATTACTTTCACAAGAAACGGCATGATTGTACTCATTTCAAATAAACAAAACATGATCTACTTCGCCTTCTTAGCTCGAATTTTTCGCAGATAGAACTCAAGTTCTTTTCCCTCCAAAATGTAACCATCAGCACGACCAACTTGACCAGGGCGAGAACTAATGCACGCTACAAATGAAGAAAATGTCATAGATATGATTCACTTTAGTAGGACCCTAAGCAGACATGTACTAGCCTAAAGGTGAGATCATCAAAGAGAACACCATAGACGACCCGCATTTCAAGGCAGCTATAATTTCCGAGACACTTAGCACAGATACAGACAACCGTCTACACTGTGACTCTGTTCTCGACTTTGCAATCCTCAGATGTCTGATGACTGGGAACGAACTTGCAAGATTGCAGGAGAGAAACGGCGACTTACGCATTACATTATTTGCTAACTCCAAATTGATAAAATGTGCGAAAATGTATAGAAAACAAATATCTACAAAACCCATTTGTCTAAAACTTTTTTTTGATAAGGTTTGTCCTTATAGAACTGTTTATCAGAAAAAAACAACTTAAGATTTTTTCTCCAATAGTTTTCCAACTTCACACTAAACAATTTGTGATTTAAGGCCAAACCAAATTTAAATATAAGAATACAAGGAACTACTGATTAGTATCTAAGAAATACAGACCTCCTAATATTGCATTAATTCTAAACTAAAACCCACCAAGTAAACGACCACTTTGAAACTGTTCGATTAGATGCGGTTCAACTTCTGCACGCTTCTGCCGCTTAGTATATTTTGTTTGTGTTTTCTTAGAACGCTTCTTATTAATGCGTGCTTCCTCTTCATCCGTAAGTTTGGCACCCTTTTTACGTGCCAGTGGAAGAGCATAATGTGCTTCATACCATTGTCGAAATGGTACAGCATCAACAGTTATTATTGAATTTTTCACTAATGTTTTAGTACGTACTAATTCATTATTTGATGCATTGTACACTGTATCAACAATACGCGTTTTACGCGTACAGCCTATAAATTGTCATACAGGAAAAGCATCATAACAAAAATTTTCATAATACTAGCTGTTCTCAATTTTTAATAATTAAGATTACATAACCACGACGTACTTTGGAAGAAGTAAAAATTTTCACTAACAGTTACATATTTCAAAGTTTTCTTACAAGAATATAAATCAACGAAACAAAACAATTCAAGTAGATAGAGATTATAACAGACCTTCCGATCCCCATGAAAATGTACCGACATCAAGTCTCAGAGCACGATGCTTGATGTTGCCACCACGACAACGAACTAAATGTATTCTTTTAGCACCAATCTAGAATACATTTAATTAGTAAGCTTTTCTTTGTTGATTGCATTTAAGAAGAATATCTATTTTAGCATATTATCATTACACCATATTTTCGAGATGGCGGAAATATGATAATGCTTACATATTTTGGGCAGCTTATGTAATTATACTATCACTTCAAGCATAGAACTGCAGCTGTAAGTAATTTGAGCAGATATTCCAGTTCTAGAATTGAAAAACTACAACGTGCCGAACTTCTTACAAAAAATTTTTTCTCAATACTTAAAAGGACTTACTTTTGTATTTGATGCAGGGCGTCCTAATTCAAACTTCCTCTTCTTATGAGGTGGACATCGTTTGCCACCAGTAGCACGGCGTTTATGCCAGTTATCACGCGATATACCCATCACTAATTAGTTCAAAACTTCTGAAAACATGAGTGCGTTCACAGTTAAATGCCTGCTGTGATATGATTAGAATTTTGCTACTTAAAAACGGTCTATGTTTCATGTGAACACTTTGCACGTGTTTGGGCTTATTGAAGTTTGAACTTTTATTTCTCGAAAATTTATACTTCTCACAGAAAAACATAAAGCTTCAAATTAAACTACATTTTTCTAATGCTTAGGATTCGTGACATTTTTATTTCAGAAACGAAGTGAACAAACGAATTCTATATTCATATAATAACAATACAACCATGAGTTTACTGTCAAATAATATAACTCAAATTACACCACCAACCCAACTGATCAAACCCGATATCTGAAAATGGCTGCGAATCACAGACAAAACCCAAACCAGAACCAGTTTGATGAAATACTTTACAATATGAACTACACAATACTCATCCTTCAATAGGCCCATAAAGCAACGTGACTGTACTACAATCCAGAACATTATGCAATTACTATGTCCCATCAATACTGGAACTTTTCTGCTGCATGCAATCATTTCTGACTTTAAAATATTTGCTAATGTGGTAAGATGCAGGTCAACTGTTCTAGATTCGTTTGTTGTAAAGAACAGCCATGAATGTAGCATTTATCATCATATTTCTGGTGATTTAAAAAGGACTGAAAGGTTATCTCAGTTTTCATTTTGAGCGGAATGTGAGAAAAACTAACACCATAATTCAATTCTTGGTAATATCGTGCACAATTGTTGATCACTTTGGAAGAACAATTTGTTCAAGGAGTATATCTTACGGAAAGTATTTATCATGATTTTAAATCAAAACTAGAAGCTTAGGGAGTTAACGCTACAAATCTTTTCAAAATAAATTTGGCCACAATAACGTTTATCGCAAAATCAGAGATGTGGACAAGCAAAGCCACGTAATATGGAGTGGTCTACCTCTTTAACTTTCCGTTGTAACAAGAAATTTTCTTGCTTCACTTCTGAAAATTTCATCAATTCATTTTGTCACGAAATACTTAGCAGCCTCTAGCTGAACATTTCTAGCAGCTTTAAAATATTGCTGAGTTGGAGCGAATTTGAAAGTGAACATTTGCGGAAATTTCACGATAAACAATGAATACAGTCGTTCTTTATTCCTGATGTAAAATATGCTAGTGATTAAAAAAGTTAAAATTTCTAGCTGCAATAACACTCTCATTTCTCGACATGGGTGACAAATTAAATTTAGGCGCGGAAGTTCAAAATGGCAGGATGAAAATAACTTTTGTTCCTTGCAATGTTCTGAATTCCTGTACAGTAATGCGAGTTTTATGTTTCTCTAGCTTGTTTTGTATTCAGGTATACATTTAGAAAAGACTCATTTGTTATCAGTTTGGTGCTGTTTGAATATTCTTAATGACATCCTACAAGATCTTAATTCCGGAAAGTGTATCGAAATAAGTCTACTCATTATTTTTGTCATCCGATTCAGGAGTAATAACAAAGTGATTACTGTTTCGAAAAATTAAGAAAATTGACAGTTTTGTTAGAGTGGTGGAAAATAATTCGTTTGATTTGAAAAGTTTGTCAGTCATTGGATACAAATTTTAACATGGATACAATAAAATAAGCATAAACTATTTAAGTTAGTTCCATATAAGTATGGACTTGATCAGCCATGAAGATGAAAATCGAGCTCGTGAAATCACATTGGAATATCTGAATTTTCTGGATGATTCTGTGAGTTCATTAATTTTTGCTATTTCGAGTCATCATGGTAACTGTATTGTCAAATATTTATTTGTATCATTTTCATTCGTGTATTTATGTGGCAAATGAATGAACTATACTTGATTTGCCGAAGAGTGCTTGGCCCATGAAAGTTTGTCATTATTGTATCCATTGTTGAAATTATTGTATTTAAGGATGGTAACAAAACTTATACCCAAAAATGTGAAGACATGGTTAAGGAAAATGGATCACGAATGATTATTAACTTGAATGAATTGCGAAAGAAGCTCCCTGAACGTGTAAATGGGTGAGTAAATGTGCTTTTTCTTTTGCACACTTTGATTTCTCCTACACTATAATTGAAGACTTAAAATGTAATTGTAGCAAATTTAATATTCTGATTACAATTTAGAGAACCATACATTATAGGCTTCTACGAAATTTCGTACCCGAAATTTTGTGTTTGCAACAAGCTGTGAAAGATTATGTTAGCCGTTTGGATCCAGATTATGGAAAAAGCAAAGATTTCAACGTTGGTTTTGAAGGGAGCTTTGGTGACCGACACGTCAATCCTCGAACACTTAAGTCGCAATTTCTCGGTAATCTGGTATGCTGTGAAGGCATTGTCACAAAATGTAAGCTTCAAATTTTAAATTAGGGTTCATAAAGATAGTATATTAGTCTGTGATGAAATAACTTTATTTAGGAATTTGACTTTATTTTAACAGAATTAGTAAATTGCTCAATTAATAAATATCATATCATTAGGCAATAAAGTATCTTCACTGTTTTATGTTTTCCTTGCCCATTTGCTTTACATAGCATTTTCATGTAATCGTGTTTTTATTTTTGTAAGTTACGATCCACGCAGAAGTTTCATGGTAAATAGGAAGTCAAAATGAGCACTTTGCTACAATAATTTAATTAAAGTGTTGATCGAACTTTTCATGGATAGGTTACCGTATGATTATAGTCTTTCAATTATGTATTCATACTGCTTTGACGACTTGTAGGTTCTGCTCTGCGGCCAAAAGTAGTTCGCAGCGTACACTACTGTCCTGCTACAAAGAAAACCTTTGAGCGACGTTACACGGATTTGACTACATATGAAGCTTTCCCTTCTAGTAATGTCTATCCAACGGAAGTATGTTTTGCACAACAACATAATTTCCTTTTGGAGTATTTAGTTTGTGCTTTTAGGATGAAAACAAAAACCCGCTTGAAACCGAATATGGCTTAAGTACATATCGAGATCATCAAATGTTTTCGATACAGGTAGCTTTTTTTTTAAATTATGCCCTTTTTCTTTAGTCAGTTCGTTACAAAAAATACATTTTTATTTACTGGAAAGAGTTGAGACTGAAGTTTGTTGTTTGACAGAACTTTAGTTCCTGTAAATTGTTCAGCATTTATCAGCGTTCAACAGCAAGATACAAGTTGGGATCATGGAATAATAATGATTCTGAATATGGAAATGTACATTCTTAATGAGACAGTTGTAAATTATGTTCATTATTAGGAATTACCGGAGTATGCACCACCAGGACAGTTGCCACGTTCGGTGGATGTCGTAGCAGACGATGATTTGGCAGATAGTTGTAAGCCTGGTGATCGTGTTCGTGTGATTGGTTTGTATAGATGTTTACCGAATAAACAAAATGGTTATAGTAGTGGAAGTTTCAGGTGAGTGTACAAGGTTTTTATGAACGAATTACATCATGCAGGAGTTTTAATTACTCATAAAGAAGGAAAGAGGAAGTACACAATAATAATGTGTAGTAGTTGATTAGAGAAGGTGTTCCTTTTCAAGTGAGGTCATTTAAACTATTTGCAGTGATGTTTAATTCAGAATTACTGCATAGCTTTCACTTCCTGAAAAGTGATGTTGATATATTTTCAGATCAATTATTATTTCCAACAATATACAATTGCTGAGTAAGGAGATGCAGCCAAATTTTTTACCAGATGATATCAAAAATATTAGGAAAATGAGTCGACAAAAGGTTTCCATTAATATCAATGAAAAGTTTCAGTTACAAATTTTTTATAAAATTAGTTTGATTTTTTAAATTAGAATTAATGTTCATTTATTTATCGTCTTTGCAGAACATATTTGATACACTCGCAAGATCGTTGGCACCATCAATATGGGGACACGAAGAAGTGAAAAAAGCAATACTTTGTCTTTTATTAGGAGGAAATGAAAAGCTTTTGCAAAATGGTTCACATATTCGAGGGGATATAAATATTCTTCTCATAGGAGACCCCTCAGTTGCAAAAAGTCAGCTATTAAGGTAATCTTTGTGAAGTTTATTTCAGCAATCGTATTCAGTTTTCTAAATTAATTTGTGAATATTTGCTTGCAGTAAAATGCTAAACATTTTTATGTGTAATTTTTTCAACCAAAAAAGGAAAATTGGAAACTACCATTATTGTGACTGATTACTGTGATCGCAAGGGCTCTTTGGATCAATATTTTGCGATATAATTTGTAACTGTATTTAGATATGTACTGCATACCGCACCACGTGCAGTTGCAACTACTGGACGGGGATCGAGTGGTGTAGGTTTAACTGCAGCAGTAACGACTGACATTGATTCTGGAGAACGTCGTCTTGAGGCAGGTGCCATGGTTTTGGCTGATCGAGGAATTGTTTGTATTGATGAATTCGACAAAGTAAGCGTTGAATTTCGCATTTCTTATTGTTGTTTCAACTTCTTTATCTGTTTCCTTTTTCTTTTTAAACTTTTGGTGTTTAATTTTGAGGTTGAGAGAATGAATTTCAGATGTCCGATATCGATCGTACAGCAATACACGAAGTGATGGAACAGGGAAGAGTAACAATTGCTAAAGCTGGTATCCATGCTAAATTAAATGCACGATGTTCTGTTCTGGCTGCTGCAAATCCAGTCTTTGGAAGAGTGAGCAGTATAGAATTTTTTTTGTTGTATTTTTACTGTTTGTCGTTCAAATGTTTTATATTTGTTGACTGAGATTTTTTTTTTTTTTGCAGTATGATTCATTCAAGAGTCCTATGGAGAACATTGGCATGCAGGATTCTCTGTTATCTCGATTTGATCTTATATTTGTCTTAATGGATGAGGTAAACTTATTTTTGCATTCATTTTCTGCAAAAAGGCAATGTTGCATAATTATTTGCATCGATTTTGTTCTCGAAGGCTAGCTATTGAATGAAATGTTTAGTTATTATCATTTCCTTTTAACTTCGTTATAATTAACGGACAAATAATCTTTATCCAACAACTATAGCTTCTGGGCTTCTCTTTTATTGTCTTCTGATCATTTGTTTGTAATGTATTAAACAGCCTTTCTCTGCAACAGGTTTCAACAAAAGTTTCTGTTGTCTCTGTGGAATATTTTACGTCTTTAAATTTCCTACTGGTTCTGTGGTCACTTTTTAACTTTCAGTGGCAATTATATGATGTTTAAGAATTTTATTTACTTCAAGTAAATGAAAAGCTTGCAATATTCATTCACAAAGATGTAAGATAGGGACGAATAATTTTCGCATCCAAAATTGAATTATATTTAGTTTTTTAGCATGATCCAGAAAATGATAATAGCATCGCAGAGCACATACTAAAACTTCATCAATATCGTACGCCCGGAGAACCAGATGGTACAGTCCTACCAATGGGGACTGCTGTTGAAAAGCTTACGACTTTTGATGTAGAAGAAGACGAATCATCAACGAATGAAATTTGTATAAAAAGCAAAGAGTGGTGTGCGGGCAAGATAAGGTATATCTCAAGTATTTGTTCAACCTAATAATAGTTTTGAACAAATCACAATTTGTTTTTCGATAGCATTACATTCACATAGAGTGATAAATATTAATTGGTTGTTTAAATTAAAATTAAAGAATTGCTCAAGTACTTAAATTTTAGAGACAAATTGTTGACTGTGCAGTTTGTTCGAAAATATATTCATATGGCAAAATCTTTAAAACCAAAGCTGACTGAAGAAGCTTGTGCTTTTATTAGCAGTTGTTATTCTGATTTACGTTCCTTTGATACATCCATAACAGATCGTGAAAGAGTAAGACTGAATTTATATATCTATGGGTTTTAGAGAAAACTTGTGGCACAAATAGAGTACAGTTATTATTCAGGACTTGTGCAAAGCGTCAGTTTTGCAACATTCACTTCAAAAGTTTGCAATACAAATTTTTGGATCTTTGAAAATCAAAAATTTCCTCTCTCACATTACTCATTATTGTTGGTGACTGAAACGAAATTACTTTTAGACTATGCCCGTAACAGTGAGGCAATTGGAAACTTTGATTCGTGTATCAACAGCTATGGCTAAAGCCAGATTAGCGAAAAATATTGAACGATCAGATGCTGAAAAAGCTTACCAGTTGTTATATTATGCATGTTTCAAGGAAAAACCGAAAGAGCGCTTAGAAATGGAAGAAAAGCAAAGGAAAAAGCACAGAACGAAATCAGAAAGTGATGGAACAGATGATGAGGAGTCTGATGTTTCGGATGTAAATCTTTTCGAATTCACTTTTGAAGTACTTTCTATATACGATCGATGTTAGTTGCTAATTTCTGTTAATTTAGAACTTGAACGTATCAGAAGAAACAACAGTGCAAACTTCACTTCGACGATCGAAAAGGTTTCTTATTTCATAATTCCCTGGATCGAGAGAATCAGCTGTAGTTTTTCTTATTTCTATATAGACTGTATATTTATTTTAATGCAAATAGTAAATTTTACTAACACATTGTGAAAATTGCGAAACTTTTAATCTTTTCCAGATTCCTTCTTTTGCATGTGCACTATTTTGATATTTGAGGCGTGGAATGCAGGAAGATTCACAAATATCAGGTTCCGCTGATTCTTCTGCTATGGATGTCACTCCTAGCTTTGATGGCACAAGTACAGCAGATTTGAGTGGTCCTAGTGTGAAACGATTGCGTCAGGAAACACCATCCATCAGCATTGATCGGTTAATTTAAATTTCAACTAAGTTCTCTGTAAATAATGCAAATTAAATCTAGCGAATAATTTATTATTATTTAGCGTTAGCTAAATCAAAGTTGACTTGGCTTTTTGATTTGATTCGGCTGAAAAATGTGCCGCTTGATAAATTCGTTAATACTAAAATTCTATGCTTAAGATATTATTAAACATATCCAGTCTTGAAACATAAATCTGTTGAACGAAACGAATTTTGCAAGCACTTATTGAGTATCTCAGTTAAAAATAAAAAATCATTGATACATTTTATACATAACTCCACGTGCATATCGTCATTATAACAAATATTTAGGTATAAAAAGTTTCGCAGGTTCTTAAGAAAGGCATTTGATGACAACGACAGTATGGATGATATGATTGAGGTTTCAGTCATAAAGAGTGCTATTCAGGTTAGCTTTAATCATATCTGTACTAAATTTCTGTGTCATAATTTATGTTTTTGAAGAATATGAAAAAATAATATTTCAGGAACAGGCAGGATTTGTTCCATTTAGCGATAAAGAATTTGAAGCAGCTTTTGAGCAGCTGTCATCAGAAAATATTATAATGATGGTAGACAACAGAATCACATTGATCTAGGGACCTCATTTTCTATATTGAATTTTAAGCTGTTCACAGTTTATCAGTTTAGTCACTCTTGAGTAATAATCATTCTTGGCCAGAAAATTCTGATGTAAACTTATCGCCGAGTTTTTCATCAGAACTTTTTAAAGAATGGTATTTTCATTATTCATATTCTTATTAAATTTGCTGTATCTTTTCTTAACTTCAGTTTAAAGATTTTAAAGTTTTTAATTAATTATTAGCGTAAAATTGAGTGGATGTGAATAGTGATTTGGTAAATGTCGTTATTCGTCTTGGAGAGCGTGCAGAAATGTCTTTTTAAAAAAACAGATTTTCGATTGAATCGAGATTTGCTTTACTCAGTTTTTTTAACAGATAAAATGTGGTTGCATATATACAAATTCATGGTCACTGACGCTAAGTTTGAAATTTTTTATGGTGGAACAGTTCTCAGCAATGGAGTAAAATAGATTATTGACATCACACAGCACTCCTTGGTAACTATTGTGAATGTGCAATAGCAGATATTTTGTCATCATTTTGAATTCTAAATTTAGTTGTTTTCATTCTGAAGAAGTCAAAATCTCTTGAGGATAAGTATATTCACGCTTGTGATTCACATCATGCAACGTCTGTGAAGAGAAGCTCATTAGGAAAGCTGGCATTCTGTATTTTTGCTTTCAAGCACTCATGGTTTAAAATTATTAGTTAAAATGACGTAATATGTGTTTGGGTATGGGTTAGAACATTTCGTGTTTCAAAGAGGCCACATGCCTGACGTAGGAGTATTTCAGAGGAGGCTAGTTTTGGCGTATTTAAGAAAGATCTGTGATTGAGATGAGATATCTATAATATGGATAAATTGTTCAAAAATTCCATCGCGAAGAATTCTGTAACCACGGTGATGTGTCTTATTGAATGGTATTCGTGAGCAGCTGTGCAGAAGAATGTGTGCTGAAAGACCGTGCTCTGGAAACAGCCATTTTCTGCATAGAGTATTGGGTTATGTGGGTTGGGTTTCGGATTTGGTGGTT